ACCCTTGGGCGTCCCTTCTCCGAAGAGAAGACACCCCCAACTCCACTGAGGGAAAAGATGTTTGATCCAGGGGCGTGAGAGGAGAAGGTGAAAGGGTAGCCAGAGGCGCAGGGCGAGGGTTGGAGGTAGGAGAAATCCAAGGGGATCTAAGGGCTTTTAGATGGAGAGATGTGCACTATCGTAGATGTGCACTACTTGGGGTGGCCCCGGCCTTGATCCATTCTTGGAGTCTACACCACCTTGGGTCTGCTGATATGCAAATGTTCTTAGGCATTAGTCAATTCTGGCGATTTGCCTGGACCACCAAGAGTCTTTTTATTTTTTTAAGAAATAAAAAAATAAAAAGAATGACTCCCCAGCAGGTGGTATGTGGCGTGGTTACCCAGGTTTCGTGGACATAAAGATTTTGAAGAGTTCAAATCTCCAAGCCTGACAATCCACGCGGACACTCCATCATCCTACTGAAAATATCAAAGGCTTGGGAGCCGTAGTGTGCACATCATGTTTGTTTTGGCAAATCCAAATGCTCTGTGGAGAAATGATTTTCTCCTTTATCGCCAAAAACATCAGAAGAGAGGCCCTTCAAACTGTAAATATCTGGATGAATGAAAGTTTTAGCTACAATCTAGAGACTTTCCTTCTAAGCAGAATGTACTCAGAGCTGTGTGATCCTGAGGAACATTGCCCATCAGGTGCAACAACTCAGTGATGCTTCCTCTATTCATACTTTGCAGGCACAGCTTCCTGAAAAAAAGATAAATCTTCAAAATTTTCCTCTCATAAAGGAAAGGGTGCATGTGTATTAGTGGTAGATGTGGAACAGGGGTGTGTGTGTGTGTGTGTGTGTGTGTGTGTGTGTGTGTGTGTGCAGTTCATCAGTTTAGAGGTCACTATGTCCACCTTCCATGTAGAGCCACTTTAAGATGTTCCTGCCAATTTTCACATTTCTAAAGCCTAAGATAGAAAAAAAAAGTCAAATCCAGGACCTCTCTCAGAAATGTCTAAAGAACCTGCCCACTCTGTCTCCAAGCAATTTCCCCATTGTGTGTGGGCCCTTAGGAGGAAATAAATATGCAAGATTTTTAAAAGGTAAATTAGGTTTAAACATGTGAACATGAAGTATTAATTTTCACAAAATCTTGAGTGTTTTTATCCAGACACAAAGCCTAGCACAGCATTTTGAGAACAAAGTGAATCTGCATGATTGTGGCTGGAAGAAAAGTTCATGAAGAAACCGATTTCCTCCTACACATGCTTTCTGGGTTAGGAAAGAAGGGTAGAAGAAACTTAAAGTTCAAAGGAACAAAGGGGAAAATATGACCCTAGTGCAATAGTAGCAGCCAAATGTTTAAAGCAAAAATGAAAAGATTATACATTTACACCTCCACCCAAAGTAATTTTATCATAATTTTGTTACTTTTATTATTTCTATAGCAAACCTTATATAAAATGTATATATTGCACACAGGAAATATGTTGGTTGCATTAATTTCAAATGTCTCTTTTGTTTAAAGTTCCTTTAAAACATAATTTTCCCATATTCATCATAATATATAGCTATATATGCATTCAGTAAGAGATAAATTAGGAAATAATTCAAGCAAAAACCTTGTAATGTAGCAAGAATATGAATATGCAGACCTTAAATGCAAGTGGTTTTGTCCCATTCATATTTACAACTTACCTTGCCACAATTAATATATTTAAATTCTTTTATTGCCTTTTCTTTGTGGAGTGCCTACTGGGATAGAACTCAACAACACTTTAACCCTGAGCTACATCCCCAATCTTTTTATTTATTTATTTTTTATTTTGAGACAGGCTTTCACTGAGTTGCTGAGGGTCTCACAGAGTTGCTAAGGCTGGTCTCGAACTCATGATCCTCCTGTCTCAGTCTCCTGAGTTGCTGGAATGGCCTGGCTGATGTATTTAAATTCTAAATTACACTTTTGTGTTAAATTGTTATCTTCTTCCTAGTTTTGGTTTGTTTTCAGAAAATTCCAGAGAAGTACATAGAAATGTGTCTAACTAGGCCTGATCTTTCATACAATCAGCAAATTCAGCATATATTTAAATCATATAAATATTATTACCACCCTCAGCAATAAAAGAGAATAAAATCATGGCATTTGCAGGTAAATGGGTGCAGTTGCAGAAGATAATGCTAAGTGAAGTTAGCCAATCTCAAAACAACAAATGCCGAATGTTTTCTCTGATATAAGGAGTCTGACTCATAGTGGGGTAGGGAGTGGGAGCATGGGAGGAATAGAAGAATTCTAGATAGGGCAGAGGGATGGGAGGGAAAGAGAGGGGCAGAGGGTTAGCAATGATGATGGAATGTGATGGACATCATTATCCAAAGTATATGTTTAAAGACATGAATTGGTGTGAATATACTTTGTCTACAAAAGAGATATGAAAAATTGTGCTGTATATGTGTAATAAGAATTGTAATGCATTCCGCTGTCATGTATTTAAAAAATAAAATAAATTAAAATATATATTATACCCCCAAGTATTAATGTTTTCTAAGAAATATATACACATACACAGACTGAGCTGGAAATAAAATTTGAATAGCAGAGCATTTTACAAATGTTTTTGTCATCATCTGAAACAGGATAAATGTAAATGATAAATATAAGCAGTTGCTATAATGTAGGACACTTTTTATGGAGGAAACTCAAATCCTAAGATCATAAATTGATCCTCGGTAAAAGGTAAATTTCTTATAGGGATAAGCACTCATGGCATATATGATAGAAGGCCTTAACCTCTCAACTGTTATTTTTACACATCATTTTTAAATTATAGAAGTTATTTTGAGAAGAGGAGAATTTTAAAATATTTCTATATGCTTAGATGCTCAGTCTACCAATTTTCACAAATCCAAATACAAAAGTTCAAGTTTATAAAATGTGAATTGTATATTTGAAAAAAATGAAGAAAGGATATAATTTAGCAAACAAAAATTGGAAATAGCCGTTTAATTCACAAAAGGGTTCATCTTGGTAGCCTTTCACACAGACCCTGGTCATTACAAATCATTCACAGAATTTCAGTTGTGTGCAACTTTTAAGGAATGTCTTTAATGCATTAAGCTAATGATATTTGTCTGTGGTTAAATGAGAGTTTTGAAATGTGGACCATTATTTGTTTTGATCATCTGATCAAGTCGAATTCGATATTTTTAAAAGGCAAGTCATTTGTAATACAGTTCATGTGATGGGCATCTACAGTATTACAAAGTAATAATATTAAAAACCAAATATCATCACTGGGTATAAATTCTATTCAGATAAGCAATCTGTCACAAAATCATTTTAAAATGCCACATTAAACTTTGCATTTTAAAAAGGCTAGTAAAATAAAATTCATGGAGTCTTGTCTTCCATACTGTTATTCAGGGTATCAGAAGAACTTGGTTTAAGTCCTCTTCCCATGGCAGAACATAGTCCCTTATCTTTCTGGCTCCCTATTGGAAGTTACAGATGAAAGAAGCTGACAGGAAGGGGAAATGACTTTCTTCTTTTGAGAAGTTAATATAGTGGACCTACCTCCTCAGGCTAAAAGAAATTTGGCTGCTTGGAAAGCCAAGCAAGTTTAAGCTTTTCTATTTGAGGGCAAATTTTGCCTTGTAAAATCATTGGCTTTGTTCACAAAGAGTTGACCCCAAGTATTTTATACACTGTTAATGTTGAAAATGTTAATGTTCTAGCCAAACCTGTGCTAAGAAATGGCTCCTGGGAAGGAAAAAAATAAGGTCTTAATATTCCATTTTCAGGAAAGCTGTTTTGAGCATCTATCAAGTTGTCACCTGTTCCATTGGGAATGTTCACTTTGTATTCCAGTCTTAGGCGATGGCAGGCACTGTTAACTTACCATTCAGATGAAAGGGTTAGGAGCCCAGCACTATGGGTGTCTGTCTGGTTAATTAGGGCAAAGTCCATTCTTCATTGACTTCAGATGCCAGGCTCCACGCAGGGCTGTCTTATGAGGCTTGACTCTATGGAAATGCATTAAATGCTTTGAAGTGTTTTAAGTAATTTCAACAAACATTAAATTTTAGAATTTGCTCGTGGCTTCTCTGTGTGTGTGTCTCTGTTTCCAGCTCTCTATGTGTCTGTCTCTCTCTATCTCTTTCTATATTTCTGTGTTTCTTAGTGTTTCTCCCTCTCGATCTCACCTTTTTTCCCCTCAGCAGAATAGCACAGTGGGTTGTAGCAAGGACGTTGGAGCCAGACTCCCAGGGATCATGTCTCACTTCACCATTTTCTAACTGAGTTACCTTTGGTAAATCTCTTGAACTATCTACAACTCAATGTTTTCATCTTTAAAATAAAAATAGGAAAGCTATTGTACTTTTTTATGGAACCATTGTGAATATTAAATCATTTTTATTCATAATGAGCAGACAGCAGTGACCGTCACATGTAAGTGTCATAAATACTATTATTTTATTCTATGCAAACAAAGAACCTTCTGAGCTTTGGTTTTCTCCTCTGTAAAATGAGCTCATACACTCAACCTGTAAGTATCGCTGTGATGGTTAAGTGAGATAATGTATAAAAATAGCTTACCAAAGTCAGTCACAGTGTAGATGCACACGATTATCAATTTCCTTCTCCCAACCCCACCCCAGTTCTGTCCATTATTTATTGCTAAAGTTAATTCACACTTGAACATTTCATTCAAATTGTTGGGAATTTCTCTGTGGTAGTTCTTTCCAGATCTCTTGTAATCCTTTCAACAATGAAAATAATCACAGGAGGCAGGTCTTACGTGCCAGTGGGACAGGTGAGACTTCATGAAGAGGAGCTACTCCTTGTCAGCAGTTCTTCCTGTCCTTGGAGGAACAATGAGGACAGGAAGAGTTGCTTCATAATGGGAGGGAGATAAAGACTGGTGGTCCCCAGTTGTGGGCAGAACCCAAGTCCTGCTGGGTGACTTTACCCTAGGGAAGTACAACAGTCTCTGAGGGATCACTGTGTGGTGATCTACTGGAGACTGGACCCCTGGGCTTCCCACCTTCAGCAATGAGTCTGGATTGCCCCAGCTTATCCAGAGTAGCTAAGCCACACACCCCCGCCACAGAGGGATCATGTATAGACTTGATTAATATACGACTCAACAGTGCCCAGTGGACTGAAGACTCAGGAGCATCTGCCTTGGGTTTGATTTTAGCTAAAGATCTCCCCTGATTGCATAACCTTGCAACACAGGAACCCCTATAATACTGAGATTGCATTTCCCACTATATTTATTGGAAATGGGAACTCAGAGTAAGATTTACAGTAATCTGAAGCAAATAAAGATTTTTTAAAAACCTTTTCTGAACAGCTGTGTTGTTGCTGTTTATGTATTCCAACCTGCTACATACTCATTTTACAAATAAGCCTTCTGTAATTTAAATGTCTAAAAAATGCTAGACATGCCACAATCTCAAACCTGCTGCATATTATTTATCACATAAGGTTTTATGTAACAGTAACTGCTAAAAAATGATAAACCTGTTGGGGTAGTCATTAGTACTATTTGCCAAATATTAATAGTCTTCCCACATTTTAAGTTTAGTACACAACTGCAATTCCTGCCCCCTTGTGGTTGTTGGAAGCTTTGTGACTAATTCCAGTGGTGAACAAAAAGGAACAATTGTCATCCAGCCAGAGCTGATAGAAGACACTCTGAGTTCTCTCTTTTCCTCTGGCATCATAACCATCAATATTCAAGATGACTTTGATACAAAAAAAAAATAAAGTTACTGAAAAAAATCAAAAGGAGTTTGAATTCCTTCCATATACACTACATTTAACTTTGAAATCTTATTCTCTTTATCCTTTGTTTTCCAAAAAACATATTATATATGATTAAGTATCACCAGTTCCTAAAACAATTTATCCATAAGCCACCCTGAAGACAAAATAAATTGTTGGAAAGAAACACTATGAATGGAACAGAAATTAGAGAGAATAGAACATAAAAAAATTCATTAGAATGAATCAATAAGATAGAGAGACCAGAATATATGCTCAATACATCCACATCTTGAATGATAACTGTTGCCAAAAGCAATCTCAGGCATGACTTTGCCTTTTGTTTCAAGAATTTTTAATTTTCAGAAGATAATATTTACAAAGTTTTATTTATCATTATTTTCAACATCTGTAATACTCATCAACAGAATTTGCTCTTCAAATACCCTGACACCATACAGAAGCAGTAAGCTGGACATTTATCTTTTATTTTTTTTATTTTTTAGATATCCAGCTGATACTAAAGACGATCACCAATGTTCCAGAAAGAGCATCTCTCTCAAGTGAGGAGCTAAAATGGTTGTAGCAAACTCTTTTCATTTTCCCTTACCTCATCTTTTGAACAACGAACTCTGTGTGGATTCCCATCGACTTCAAACAAATGCATCCTGAGAGCATCTCACCTCTTGCCAGTGTCTTGAACCTTTTAGCCTCCTACCTCCGGGGCTTCTCTGTTGATGCTGAGACATAAAAGTATACCTGCTTGGCTTAAGCTTGTGTAACTTGAAAGTGTGGGAAACTGTCATAACACTGGGCAAACCTGTGATAATGGTAGATAGTAGCTCTATTTGAATATACTACCCTAAGCTGTCACTCACACAGCTTCTTGCCCACAAGATCAAGTGAACAGTCAGACTGATCAGTCTGAATGCTAAATTAATGGTTGACTCGGTGATCTGTTCTCATAAATATATACAATGGTACATAAGCCTCTGCCTCTGTCTCAAGCTCTATTTTATGCAGAACCCACATTAAGATACTAATTTCTGAATGAATCAGAGATTATTATCTTATATACACATATAACTATATGAGCAGTGGAATTCTACATCATGTATAATCAGAAGAATGAGAAATTATACTCCATTATATATGATGTATCAAAGTACATTCTACTGTCATGTATAACTAATTAAAAAAAATTTTAAAATTATAATAAATGCTAATTTCCCAGTCTCTCAACTTGATAACTGGGACATGTCCTAGATCCACCAATCACATCAGCCACCCAAATTCTGAATTAGAAACCAAGTGGAGAAATCAGGGGCCATGTGAGCAATGGATAGCAGCAGCTGAGACAGTGGTTGTGCCCAAAGTTTCCAGTGTCTATGACGGTAGTAGAAGCTGTGTAAACATTCAGTTGAATGTTCCCATTGTTAAAATTATGGGTTTGGTTTTCTTCTATCATTCATAAAGCCATGATAGAACTTGAGAACTTGGTTGGTTCAAATTTATGCTCTCCCATAGCATTGTCCTAGGGAAGGCCAATCACATTGAAGTCTAGCAGACTCTGGAGTTGGACCTTGAGGAAACCAAAGACCTCTTCTGAATGCCAAGGCATATATATATATAAAAAAAAAAGCCAAAAGCAGTACTTATTTTCTCCACTAGTTCACCGAGGGCATTCATCATTATTGATAACAATAAAATAATGGAATCAATCCAGTTATCCAAGAAATAGGGAAATGGTTCAGTAAATCACAATGTATCCATTGAATAGATTATTCATAGGAATTATAATTATAGTTATAAAGATTATGAAGCAATGAGGAAAATCCCATGTTATGGTATTAAGTGGTTAAAAAAAACTACAACTCCAGATCATATATGGACATCCACAATTACATATTTGATTTACAAAGATTAAGATAGTCATAAGTAAATGAGTGATCATAAGAGTATAGGATTAATGGTAATCTTGCATTTTCCAAATGTTCTGAAAGATCATTTAGCTATTAGGATGAACACATACACCCATAACAAGCCCTAAGGCCCTTCCTCAGCTCTTTTTATTCTCCAGTGTGGCTGGTTTTATGTGCACAGTGCTGCAGCGTGCCGCCTGCCTGCACATTAATCTCTTCAGTAATTGCAATTATCTCCCTTCCAGTGAATGTGATGAAGTCTGACTAAAGGTCTCTAATTCTTCTGTCTCTCCATGTTCTCATAAATAATAAAACAGGGCTCCATGACAACGAGTACATAAAAAGTTTTATGAAATCTCAAAGTAGTCCTAAAGTCTTTTGATTCTTAAAACTAATAAAGTGCTCTAGCTACACAGTTGTCTAGACACAAATATTATTTGGTTCTACACAGTAAGTAGAATGAAGTGATAAGAATATCCACACCTGGATAGTTCTTACTTGGGCAAATGTTCCTACATCTGCTGAGTGTCTCTCGTTTTCAGATATTTCTAAAGAAGCCTTCTCTGATGACCCTGTCCCCTCTTCTGGAGGAGCCAGGTATTATTTGTTCCAACAGAGCTTGTTGCTTGCTGGATGGTCTTTTCTATGATGCATGCTTAAGTTGCTCCAAGGGAGGAGCTCCATTTTGTTCATCATGATATGACCAGAGCTTCTTGGAGTACCTGATACATTTAAGAAATTCAATCAACAAAGGACCAAAGAAATCATTGCAAGCTTTCATCAGCAGCCTCAGACCCCTTTCTCCAAGTAGAAGCAAGATGCAGACACTCAAGAAAGGCTGACTTATCTCAAGACCAGGAAGGTAACAATTTTCCCAGTGAAAGTTTATAAATGAGGAAACCTACGGTGCAGAATCTAAGTCGATGGTTCAGAAGAAGCCCTTCTATGAACCTGTGGCAGCTCTTCTCATTTTATTGGGTCATCCTTTCCCTGACACTGCATAATGCCAGCTCCTACGTAGCTTTCTGACAGCTCCTTATCACAATCAGATCAAATCTACCCTTCCACTCTTTCCAATCAGATTATGTGTTTCTCTTCTTTTCTCTCTTTCTCTGATGAAAACTTGGACTAAGTGTACAGAAGAGATGTCCATCAAGAACTCCGCTAAAGTAAATCAAAATCCAAGAAGATATCTACTTTCCACAGTCTGTGTAAGCTATAATTCTGGTGCAATTGATACCTGCTTACTCCTCCATTGGAATCTACTCAAGTTGAACTGTTAGCCCTCATCTTTTGAAAGTGAGGAGCCGCATCAGAAAAATACACACACGCACACACATGCACACACACACGTACACATATAAACATATGGTTTCTTTAGATATAAATAAATGAATGGAACTAAATATTTTTATGAGGTTGATACTTAAATAAATTAAATTATTTTAATTAATTAAATATTATATTATAAATATTATATTAATTAAATTAAATATGATATTATACAAATTATATAAATATTATATGAGATTTATACTTTCAACATTCCCTGTCATAAAATAATATGGGCTCAATTTGACAAATCTTTGAGGACTCATAATTAGGAGGTTTTTGAATCTTCTTAATCCTCTACTATAATATTCAAGAGACTTTTTTTATTGACTTAGGTGAAGAAATCCACAGGGCATTCAGAAGGTGATGCATACATATCATTCTGCTTCCTTTTTCTCTAATTCTCTCCCTTTATCCTACTCTGCTCGGAATTCCACTAGGACTTTGCTTACTATTGCAGTAGTGTCAAAATTACATTTCTACTACCTAGCTTTTAATGAAAACCAAATAAATCCAAACTTTAGTAGCTTAAAACAACAAGAGTTTATTACTCTTCATGATCTATTGGTCATCTGGCTCTACTGGCCTGGCCTGGCTTGGCTGGACTCATTTATACATTTGTGGTCGGCAAGTAGATCATCTGAGAACTAATTAGTCCAGGCTGGTCTTTCTTACTGGTCTACTGGGCCAGATTATCTCATAATACAGCAGGCTAACCCAGACTTGTTCATGACAGGAGCAAAATTTTAAGACTGAGTCAGGTATGCAAACACTTTGAAGGTTTAGTCTCAAAACTTACACTCTGTTCTTTCTGCCATTTTCTATTGATCAAAATAAGATATAAGACTGTCCCAGATGGATCTATAGATTCTGCTTCCTAAATGGATTGCTACAAAGAATTGTAGCAATTCTGGATTCTACCACATCTAACCAATGTAACTTAACGCCAGTGGTAAGCAAGGTGAGCAGAAACTTGACGAAAATATCCTTTCAGCAGAATGTGACCTTTAAAAAAAAATTCCTTGACTCCAGACTAGCAATGTCATCTTCCAATCATGGGTTAACTGAGACTTAACTTCATTAAACAAAATCTAGTATTAAAAGGTTACTGTGACAATGAGATTTGGTCTGAATAGAAACTGCAGGCTTTTGCATAGCATGTAGTTCCAAACCTTCTGACTTCAAAATGGGGAGTAAAAAGTCAAACACCCACACAGGCTGGGATGCATAATGTTGGTACAATCAGACACAGAACAAAGAATTGCAGTGAGTTTTACTCAGCAGGGCTGTTCCCTCAACCATGGTAAAAAGTGGGGACCTGGGAAGTTAGGACATTCACTGTGTGTACCCCCTATGGGGCATTTGTCACAATTTATAGCAAAGAGCTGACTGTCTTCTCTCTCCAACTATATTTCTAGCTTCATAGAGACACAAATAAATCTTTTAAATCCATACTTCTTGTGTATAATGCAGAACGTGGCCGTTGAAGAAAGGGAGAGAGGGAGGGAATTATTTCTGTGACTCAGAAAAAGACTAACCAAATATAACCACGTTTGTATTTTTAAAATGTCTATTTGCAACCAAATACTCAAAGATTCTGCCATACCCAAAATTATAGAAGTGCTAGGTGAAAATAAGTTTTCTTCAAAACCAGAAAACACTGCTTTCTATTCAGTTTAAATAGAAAAGAAGAAGTTGATGGTGATGAAATTGTAACCCAGAGGAGAAAGGGCTAAGAAATGAAAGTTTTTGATTAGTAAATGAAGAAAAATTCCTTGAATCAAAAAAACCTTTCATGTTCAATTTATAATGAAAGAGTATACATTTATCCAATATTATCTACTCCATTATTCACTGGTCCAAAGATCTAAGAAGTTCTTTTAATATTACTATAATTATTTATTCTCAAACTCATTCCAAAAAGAATTGAAGTGGCTTACGAGAGACTTCTTGAAAGATTTAAAACAATAATAATAAGCAAGTAAGAAACTTGGAAGAAAGTAAAATTAAAAATATGAAAATAGCAATCAGAAAATGAAATCAGAATGAGGTCACCAAATGCCATGAGGACCAATATTTTTCTGGAAGCAGAAATAATTTGGTTTGAGGATTCCTAGACACCAACCAGAGAGGAACTTGTGGTTTCTAACACACTTACCATGGTTAGAGCCTCAAAAGAAAGTCAGAGAAGCACAAGTTATTCCTGATGTGAACATTGAGAACAAGTTTTCCCAGGCAAGTTTCTGAGAGGATCCTGTGCAATGTAGAAAGGTACAAAAACCTAGTACCTGGTGGGACAATGTTAAACCACTGTTCAGCACAATCACAGTGACAGTACACATCAAACATGCATCTTCGCTTCAATCTTCACTAATCCAAAACCAAAATTTGGACATTAGCAGGCTAACTATCCTCCAGGGAAATCTCTGTAATTACTGATTCTCTCAAATGCATAAATGGTAAATATCATCAAATCCTGTAGATAGTAGTTCCTTGCAGCTCTTTTTCCTTTAGTGCT